GTGTAAACTTGCCAAAATGACAGCCTTACCTTTTCGTAACAGTACTTCTATATCTGTTACACCATTTTCTTTAGTTCATACTGATGTCTGGGGCCTTTTTCCTGCTCTCACCAATGGGGATTCTGCATACTATGTGTCATTTGTTGATGATTGCACCCGTTACACTTGAGTTTATCTTATGACTCATAAGTCTGACTTCTACCAGATATATTGTATCTTTCAGTCTATGATCACTACACAGTTTGGGGCCACAATTAAAATATTCTGGTCTGACTTGGGCGGGGAATACTTTAAAACTGAATTCTGTAAGTGTTTGGCCAAATTGGGCACTATTCACCAAACCTCATGTACTGATACCCCTGCCCAAAATGGTCGTGCTGAGCGTAAACACCGTCAACTCCTTGAGACAACTCGATCTCTTTTAGGGCTATGTAATCTAAGGTCTGTGTTAGAGTCCTATTAGAGACATAATTGTATTTTCCTTTTTGGTTTAGGATTTAGGGCTATATAATCTAAGGTCTGATTGTAATCTTTGATGATTGTAATCTTTGGTACAATTGAATATACAGAAAAGCTTTCAGGAATCTTACATGGTATCAGAGCCATCACCAGAACCCTAGAAATTGTCTTCCCCTTCAGTCTCTGTGTGAGTTGTGGGTCATCTTCTCCCTTGATCAAATTTGGTTCTCAAAGCTCTCTGATCAAAGTTCTCTGATCAATCGAAGTTCCCTTGACCTTGGTGAGAACTAGATCACCGAGACACAACTCACTCTTCCCTTTCACTCCTTTCGCTCCACGTTCACGCGTCGGAGCCATTGACGCTACAAAACCCTAGCGGGCACCACCAACCACGTCGTAATCGTCTTCTTCTTCGTCGTGAGGAGAGCGATCAGAATCGCAATCGTACCGAACCAAAAACCCTAGAGAAAACTCGCAAACGCAACCAACCACGCGAGAAAATGGGTTCGCGAGAGTCTCTCCGGCGAACAAAGTTATCAGAGCATCGGAATCGGAGACACTGTACAGAGAGGCTAAGAGCTGCGATACGGGTTCCGCATTCAAAGAGTGATGAGTGAGAGAGAGACAGGGAGAATGACAACAAAAAAAAAAATGAATCTCTACTCATCAGAGCATAATACTATGGATTTTTCGTTCTTTCAACTTTCAAAGCAACCAAAATATTATAGATTTCTTCTTTTTTATATTTCTTTGTGGAATCTTCCCAATAATTAGAAACCTAATGCATTTTCACATATTTCATACAATATTTACAATTTTTAGAGATATTTTCGTACACTATTCACATACTTCTACACAATTTTTACACATACATCGCAACTAATGACTATAAATCAGAGATATATCTGATATATATATATATATAAAACAACCATCGGGCCGAGAGAGAGAGAGACAGATTGAGAGAGAGAGTTTACCTGTGAGTAGATTGGCGGTGCGATGATCGGTGCGAATCGATGAGATGAGCAACGAGAGAGTAAGAGAGTGATCGGTGCAGAGATGAACGAGATCAGTGCAGAGATAAACGAGAGGGTGAGAGAGAGAGAGAGAGGCGACTGAGAGAGTGATGTGAGGGAGACGATTAGATTTAGGGTTTTTTTTTTTTGTTCTAAAGAGATTGGGGATTTTGGGGCGCGGGAATGGAAAAAATGGGGGGAACCGAGCGGGCGGGATGGGGAAAAAAAAATTTCATCATAAATAAATATTTAAATAATAAAAATAAATAAATAATAATTTTTATTTTCTTTCCGTTATTAAGGTTGATTTGTTTCATATATATTTTAATGAAAAATATTTTCACTAAAATAAAAGTTAATTTTCTGTAGTCAATGAAAAATATTTTTTTGGGGTCTATTTTTTTTTATTACTAAAAATCATGAACTAATTTTTTTGTAGTAGAGGAAAAGGAGCGGCAGCAGTAGTGAAAGTGGTGGATAAGAGATGATGGTGGTGGTGGTGGTGATGGTGATGGCGAAACAGATTAGTGGTGAAGTTGTGGTAGTGGTAGTGTAAATGGAATGACAGGGATGAAAGAGAGGTAAGGGTAGTAGTAGTGGTAGTGGTGGTAGTGGAGTGGTGGCGATAGTAGTAGTAATGGTAGTCGTAGAGGTGAAGTGGTTACAGTAGAAGTAATGATGGTGGTGGAATGGTGTTTGCAGTAATGGTGAAGGTGGTAGAGGAGATGGGTGGTAAGAGAGAGAAATGAGTGAGAGACAGATAGAGAAGAGAGAGAAAGACAGAGTGATGAGCGAGAGAGAGATAAAGAGAGACAGAGATATAGAGAGAGACAGAGAGGCAAAGAGAGAAATCGATAGAGAGAGACATATAGAAAAATAGAGATAAACAAGAGATGAGAGAGACATATAGAAAGAGAGCAAAAAGAGATGAACGATAGAGAGAATAGAAAAATAGAGAGATAGAGAGAAAAGAGATGAGCGAGAGAGACAGAGAGAGAAAAGAGATGAGAGAGATAGAGAGAAGAGAGATGAGCGAGGGAGACATAGAGAGAAGACAAATGAGAGATAGAGAGAAGAAAGATGAACGAAAGACACACAGACAAACAGATAGATAGACAAACAGACAGAGAAATAAGAGTGATGAGTGAAAGAGTGAAAGAGAGAAAGAGAAGAGTGGTGGTAGTTGAATGACATTTGCAGTAGTGGTAAATGTGGTAGAGAAGATGGGTAGTGAGAGAGAAAGATGAGTGAGAGACGAATAGAGAAAAGAGATAGAGAGACAGAGTGATGAGCGAGAAAGAGACAAAGTGGTCGCTAAAAGTGCATTTTCTTGTAGTAGATCGATAAATCGATAGGGAGCTCAATAAATAAAGAAGACAGATAATTCAAAACTCTGTTCAAAACTTAATTCAAATCAATTTTTCAAATATTTTAAATATTTAAATATTTTAAAAATATTTTAATTTTGTGAGAGACAGATAAAGAAGAGAGATAGAGAAAGAGAGACACAGAGATAGAGTGATGAGCGAGAGAGAGAGATAGACAAAGTGGTTGCTAAAAGTGTATTTTCTTATAGTGGATCGATAAATCGAGAAGCCTATTTCCGATTTTTGAATAATGTTTGGACAAGACTCTATGTTTATATACAGGTAAATTCCATTATGTTTAAATTTCTCATGATTACATAATAGAAGCTTACCTATGGTACCAAAACTTCTTGTCAATATGATTCAATAATGTTCTCAATTTTAGCCATCTTCCTTTAAAGTATTAACAAAAAGTTCAGATTTCTCCAAAGATGGAAGGTTTGACTTTTTTGAGCTACTTGAATTTTTCTTATATTAACTTGTAGGTAAAATTTCATTGAGCACTCAACTCCAAAGCTTCAATGCTTCTAGTTTTCTTGCCAATAAGCTTTGTGGACTTCCACTTACAAAGAATTGCAATGTTGATGGCGAAACACCTAATGTGGGAAAGGAAAGAGATAATGAAGGTGCTGGATCTGAAGTGGATTGGTTTTATTTGTCTATGGCTTTTGGATTTGCGGTAGGTTTTTGGGGCATCTCTATTCCTATATTGTTCATTAAGTTATGGAGATATGCCTGTTTTTGATTTCTGGATAATGCCTGGACAATACTTTATGTTTATATACAGATAAATGTGATGAGATTTTAAAAGTCATGTGGAAGTCTCCTACTTGTGTCTCCTTAATACTATAAATAAATGTATCTTTCGTGTGATAAATTCTGTTATGTTTAAATTTCTCATGATTATATAATATATGCTTACCTATCGTGCCAAAAGTTTGTCAATATGCTTCAATAATGTTCTCTATTTTAGCCATCTTATTTTAAGTAAGAGTAAATTATACTGATAGTCCTTATATTTTAATTATTGTGTCATTTTGGTCATTGTAATTCTAATTGGTTCAATTTTAGTCTTAAATTTATGAATTTATCTTAATTTGGTCCAATTGATTAGAATTATTAATATTTTCTTATGAAAAAACTCAAATAAGTGGCATGTGACATACTTTTAAGAGTGAAATTATAAATTTTCCCAACTTAGTAGGTTAACATCAACCAGCTCAACAATCATTTTTCGTCAAAAATCCTAACGACTTTATCAATTGGATCATATTGACACAAAATCTAAAATTAAGAGTCAAAATTAAGTCAACTGAAAGTATAGAGACCAAAATAATACAATAAATAAAATGTAGAGACTACCAATATAATTTACCTATTAAATTACTAACAAACTGTTCAAATATCCCTTAGTAAGTAAATTACAACCTAAGTGCTTCATAGTTGGCAACTTGGCAAGTATGGCATGTCCAATAATATATATTATATAATATAAGTAAAAATATTGCTAGTTTATTGAGTTTCAAAATTCTAACTCTATTTTTATAAATTTTTAAATTAAAAAATTACAAAAATGCACATGCTAATAAACTATTGATCATTTGATCAATAGAGTAATATATTTAAACTTTTGAACTTAACTTTTATGAAACATTTTACATGAAAATTAAATCAAACTTTTTTATATTTCTGTTGGTTACATATTTTGTATAAGTCAATTACAGTTCGACGCGTGGCAAGATGAAGGCAATACGGGAAGACAATTCAAATCTTCAATCGTAATCATACACGTGGCAGTTAATATTGGTTATTGTGGATCTGCATAGCACTTGATCAGCAAAGAGATACAAAATGACGTGGTTTCAACGGTTACTCATATTTAAATTCAAAATTAGGAGGAAAGCCTAACTGCAGATGAGGCATATTGGAGCTAACTATAAGGCAGCATGATCAGCGATTATGGAGGGATAATTCGACGGTTAGAAATGCATTTCGACAGTTGTCATTGAGAAGTATAAATAGCAGAGAAGACCCCAGAAAGAGCCCCCAGACTCAGATCTAAAAAACTAGTTTTATCTACTTTATTTTTTTTCCAGTTTTTACATTTCTTGTTCTTTACATTTCTGTACTTCAAATTCTTGCACTGCACTTCGTTCATAGGAGTAGTTTCAAGTAATTTGTCACTGTAAACCTCTACGAGACTGATTTGGATCGTTGTAAGTATTCTATTTTACTTAATGAAATGTTACAATTGTCCTTCATTTAATCATTGTTTGCTTAATTCTTCTAAACAAAGCCACTAGTAAAAGTCCTCTTCATTGAGGCTGAAAGAATTAAAACACAATCATCTGATAATTGGTTAGCAATTAATATTCTGTAAGGACTGATTGATCCTTGCTGGCATGCTCACAATTACAATAATAACCTTCGAAAGTAAAAAAGTCAATATATATTTTTGGCACGCCCGGTGGGACTCATTGAAATGGCTAGACGTAGGAGACAAAGAGAAAATGAACGCTTGGAAGAAGGCATGGAAGGAGAGGTAGAAATGCCTAATCTAGAGGATAATGTGATAACACATCCTGTGGAAGTATCTGTTTTATCAGAACCTATGGTCGAATAGACCAGCACTTCGGAACAAGTACCACATGTTCAAAATATTGGACGAGCCTAAGGAATTGGACCATCTACTGTTCCATCTACTCAGCCAATGAATCCATAGGGAGGCCTAGTAGATGCTATGGGACAACAGTTAATGAACACAATGGAAAGATGGGCAACATCCTTTTTGGATCGAATGAATACTCATCAAACAACTAACACAAGGCACATAGAGGAAATTTCAAATGTCCCTCAGCAAAGATTGGCTAGAGGTAAACAGCCTATGCAGAGTAATGGACATACTAATAGTCAAACTAGTAACTAAAACTATGAAAGACCATCACCTTAGTCTTGGTATAAGCCTCTTTCGAGGCATGTGACAAATCAAAATGCCTTATTACTTAACAGTGATGCCATGCAAATTGGTGAATCTGGCCCAACACAAGAAAATGACATAAGGATGTTTCCAAATCCCATGTTCAAAGCCATACCTGGCACGAGGGGGTTTACTAATCTCTTGTTTGAATTTGTACCTGGGGGGTTGGAAGGGTTTCCTGCAACTAGAAGAGATACAACACCTGTTCCAACACCTTTCGTAGTTCCTTTCGTAGGGCAGGCTCAAAGGGGTCACCCATACCCTCAACAGCAGCCGGCACCACAGGGATAACCAGTCTCAAATATGCCGCCCTATGGACTAAGAGGACTTCAGGCACAAGGTTGTCCACCAAATCCTGTGTTTGCTCCTCCGATAGTGGTTCAATAAGCACAAAATATGGTTCCTAGGGACCAAATTACTGATATTGTTAGAGAGATATGTGGACCGATGGCTCGAGGGGTTCAAACTCCTGTGTACAAGAAGCCATATCCAGAATGGATAGATAGGGTACATGAATACCCAAGAGGATTTAGGATACCAGACTTTGCTCTTTTTTATGGGAATGGAAACCAGTCAACGGTTGAGCATATTGTTAGGTTCGCTGCTCAATGTGGTGAATTTACCAATAATGATTACATGAAGTTAAGATTGTTCCCAAATTCTCTGACTGGGGCAGCCTTTGTATGATATATTAACTTTACACCTGGTTCTATCCAAACTTGGCAACAAATGGAGGAGGTATTTCATGCCCAATTCTTCCAAACAGAGCCAAAAGTTTCCATAGCAAACATGGCAAGGTTGAGTCAAAGGCCTGATGAGAAGGCTATTCAGTTTATTGCCAGATTCAAAAGAGCACGAAAAAAATGTAGGATCATTCTACCAGAGCCTGAATTTGTGAGATTGGCTCAAAATGGTCTAGAGTTTAGGCTTCGAAAGAAGTTCGACTCAACTGAGTTTAGAGACTTAGTGGAACTTACCTATAAGGTGTCTAGGTATGAAGCATTACTAGAGGAAGAATAAGATCGAAATAATGCATCATACAAGACATATTATGGAGATCCTAATTATGAGATTGATGTAGCAGAGATTATAGGAAAAGAACTTATGATCTGTGAGGCATTAATTCATAAAGACACAACAATAAACCAGCAGTTTAAAAAGAAAAACCTTCATAGGAAATACTCTTTCAATTTAACGAAGGCAGATGACATTTTTGATCATTTGCTTACAGCAAACTTCCAAAAGTTACCAAAATGAGTCAAAATTCCATCTCCAGAGGAACTTAAAGGAAGAGTGTATTGTAAATGGCATAATTCTTGGTCTCACTCAACTAAAAACTGCATTGTTTTTTGAGATAGGATCCAAGAGCAGATTCGAAAGGGGAGCTTAAAATTCCCAGCTAAAGCAGAAAAGGCCATGGGGATTGACACTAATCCATTCCCAAAAATTGGTGAAGTAGCAACCAATGTTATTGTGCCAGACTTCCAGAACTTATCCTTGACAGAATTGGAAGAGGTCAATGTGCAAATACATGTTACCAGCCAGACCACTGTCAAGAAAGATGCTAGAAGTTTACCAGTTGTTGGACAAGGTGTTACAGGCCAGAGGGAAGACTCTGATGAAGAGGCACTGTATGATGATTCTTTAGAAGCAGCTGTCATGCAAAGAATGTGTCCCAGATGCAGGTTGAGCTACAAGTGGTTAAAAGGGCTTCCAATTGATGGGAAGAAATATTACAAGGATGTGCAGAGGCGTCCTAAACCAACCAGTGCTTATAACAAAAGGCCATATCTAGTTGGTATTAGGCAGCAATCATTAATAGTTGAGCCAACAGCCACTAGAGCACATCCCAAGGGCAAGAGACCTCTACATGAATTCAGACCACCCAACTATTATAGAATGGAGGGCAATCGTCCTGAGAGGAGATTTGAAGTGGGCTCAAGTCATGGGATCAAAGCTAGAGATTGGCCCCCTAGACCAGCCTCACACAAAAGGGAAAGTGGCCACCTTCATGGAAAGCCTGAATTAGGCCCAAAACAAGGGGTCAGAGCCAAGCAGTGGCCTTCACAGCCAGTTTCGAAATTCGAAATTGGCTTTGAAGGAAGAAAGAGGTAGTTCGACAACTGAGCTAGTGGGTTCATGGGTTCCTGGAGTCCTAGATTGGTTTGCTATGTAGAACAAACCTAGGGAAATGTCTACCCAAAGAAATGTTGTTGGAGACCAAGGTAGGATGGTTAAGCCTCCTTTGGTAGCTCCAAATAACTGGGTATTACTAAAGCATCCAAAAACAAAGGAACCAAATATGGTTCCAGTGATTTCTAGGTCCCAAAGAAGGAAGATCCATCGATGGTACACTCAGTACCAAAAAGATCTGAAAGAAAGTGGAGAAAGCTCTTTATTGGTCCAGCCAAAGGGCCAGGCAAAGGGAGAAAAAAGTTCAAAGTTAGATCATAATCCAAAATCGACTCCTTAAGACAAAAGGAGTTGCAGCAGAGAGCAATTGGCCAAAGTTCATTCTGAGCTGAAAGCCAAAAAAATATCCAATTTGGCAGGATTGGAAAAGGCTTTGATGGAAAGTGATAGTGAGACAGAGGAATAAGTTGGCCTAGGCCAAATGAAGGAGATGACAAAAGGAGTTGCAGCAGAGAGCAATTGGCCAAAGTTCATTCTGAGCTGAAAGCCAAAGAAATATCCAGTTTGGCAAGATTGGAAAAGGCTTTGATGGAAAGTGATAGTGAGACAGAGGAAGAAGTTGGCCTAGGCCAAAGGAATGAGATGGTTGAGGAAGAAATGTTTGAAGCCTTCATGGCTGAATAGACATTTTTGGTCGAAAAACTAGCAGAAATAGACCATTCGAAGGAGGTTGTTAGTAATGAAGTGCCAGAATGTAGCATGGAAGATGCTTCTGAAGCAGTTGAAAAAGTTT